ATCATGGACAGCGGGTGTACATAGAGGGAATAATAAACAGCCTCTGCGGAATGCACCTCCATAGTTGGATCAGCCTCGGCCTCTACCGTCTTGATTTGGTCTCTGTTCCAAAATATAAATTTTTGGTGCAATGTCGAAGGGACGCACTAGATAGTGTGGATCCAATCCCTCTCGAGAATGGCTATAAATTGGTTTTCCTTCGCTGACGAAGAAAGCCTTATGGTCTGTCCTTGTTCCGACCGTCGATTTATCCACCAACACGCATGCTGCCGTATGCACATTTCTGGTGAAGTCGGTCATTCGCATGATTTTTGGGACGAGATCTTTTATGTTTTTATTGAATTTTCTTAGAGTAGACCAGGTCATAACATTGACGGAACCTCCTCGATCGACTAGGACCTTGCTGATCGTCCGCCCATCAAGATATACTGTGAGGAATAAGGGTTTCAAGTGGCACGTATGTTCGTCCGCCAACTTCTGAAAAATTACTGGTTCCGGACTTCTTTTGGAATGTTGGAATCCTACTCTACCCAATATAATGGACCAACTCCTTCCAATATCACATCCCTCTAAAGATAATCGGGTTGCACTTGAGGGGTTTCATATTCCCGATGTAGCACCCCTATTATGTTGACCTTGAGATCTCCTTCACAGTGTGAAGCTCGTTCGAGGTTGGAGGCATAATGTCCAAGCTAGCCTTCGTCGCTTCACTGCAATCGAGGGCACTGATCATCGGCTTACCTTCCGGAATCTGGTCTTCCCTGAGTGTCACAGTAAAGTAAGGTTCGTTAGGGTGTTCAACCCTTGCAAGAACTTCTTTTGGTCTCTATTTCTTTTGGGCCTAAAGCTGGTAACGAAGGTCCTTCCGACCAAGCTTCGGCCTTCCAACGATAGCTCTTTGTGAGCCCTGGGCCTGCTGCCCTCCGGCCTGACCTTCGTGGTTATCAGCCTGCTGCCCCCCATCTTGGATCTCTTGGGAAAGGCAAGCGACTAAGCGTTGTCGCTGCATCCTCCTTTTTTGAGTCTTAGTAGGAGATCGCCTCACCTGCTCCTTCCGATTCTTTGTCCAGCTCCCGTCGTCTGGAGCCTTCCCAGAGTGGCGGGTCTGATGGGGTGTGATTACCACCTGATCTATGAAGGTTACTCGCCAAACCTCGCCTCCCTTTTCAAAGCTTACTTACGAGATCGTATTCGTGGGGGAAAGTCTGTCCCACACCGAACTTCTTCTCGGAGGTTTGATCGACCTTCCAAGCCTATTAAACACTGGTTTTTTAGGGCCCGTTCTCCTACCATATGCTCCAAACCCCGAATTTGTCTTTCTGGACCTGTGTGGACATACTCCGACAATGTTTATTGGTGTGAGGAACGACTCCATGTCTATTTTCATGTCAGGTTTTTCGGCCAGCTTGAGGCAGCCTTTTTTGATGACTTTATGGACCGCATTTCGGAAGGGAATGCAGTTCCTGATCCGATAGTCATATACTCCATGCCACATACAAAATAATTTTCCATTCAGCTCCTCTTTGATCAACATTTTTGTGACATTCTTTAAGGCGGAGCTGGTTGTCTTTCAGCAAGTAATCAAAAATCTGTTCCGTCTTTGCAATGTCGAATGAGTAAGATACCTTCAGATTCACTTCATTCCGTCGAGGCAGCTTAAGAGCCGGGCATGTATATACCTTCCCCTGCGAAATTTCAGCCAAGAAGGTCTCCTCTTGCTCCTTGTCAACCTCGGCAGCCCCTTCTTGGACAAACACGCAATGATTTCTACTCCGAAACTTCTGATTTCGGGGCGCTTGAGCTTCTTTCAAGGGCTGTTCGGCCTTCACAGCTTTGGACATCGGATGTCGAAAGTTGTGACACTCTTGATGAGCCAGGCTATCACGCAGCTGGTGTGTCATGTTATTTATTGCAACATTCACCACCTGGTCCTCTAGTACACGAACTTTACATCTAGTTTGTGCGCTCTTGAATTGTTTCGAGAACTACTCGACCGAATCCTTGCTTTTCCCATCGCCATATATCCTATGAATCGCATCTTCGATTACCTATGGATTTATGATGGGATGTGGCAGTGGCACCATCTCTGCCTGCCCCCCAGGCTGTTCGAAAGCTGCGTGAATGGACGGCGGATTGTGTAACGCCGGTTGCGGGAAAGCTTGACGAGTAGGTCCCCATTGTGGGAAACGAACTCTGGCGCCTTCTGTAGGTTCTCTAAGGACTGGAACCTGTTGCAATAGTGTATTTTTGGGGGCTGGTTAGGCAGGATATTCGTAGGTTTGTTGCAGTCCAAAACTAGCAGCAAATCGACCTTCTCCAACAACTCTCTGCCACCCAGTGTATCGAGATGGTGTTGGGACTGGTCCCCCTAGTTCCCAAGTCATTTCAAAAGGCTTTGGGACCAAGGAAGGTGCTGGAATCGCTGTCGGCCCTGCACCCCATGCATTGGAAGTCTCTTGTCCGGCCATTAGGTTTCTTCAAAGGCCTGGAGTGATGACTAGGGTGTTGAAAGTATTTCCAGCAAATAGGGAATTATTTTGCCCATGTGGTATTGATGGAACTAACCCGAATGTCATCCCAAATCCGTTGGTTGGAGGCGGCCCAAAAGAGGCCTGTCCGGCCGATGCCTAAGATTCTCCGACCTTCTGGATGATGATTGGAGGTCCTCCAGATCCGAAACCCCTACCTAACAGAGTAACATGTCCATACTTAAGTATCTGGGAGGTCGGATATGCTGCGAAGCTGGTTGTAAGGCCTACGAGAGGCCAAATCTCTGGCTGGCTGGAATTGACCTTCCGGGCTTACTTTTTCGAGTTTCTTTCTCCAGAAGCATCGCAAACTCGTTCTGAATGGCGGGTTTCAGAACATCGATAATGTAGTGAGATAGATCCAAGGTGGATCAGTGAATGGATGACCGAATTTCCTCACGAATCTACTCCTGAAGGACGCTGGCTGGAAGATTAATGATCTGGTTCGGCCTTCCAGCAGCCGCGGAGGCCTCGTCGCATGGAGCAATATGTTGCACAGGGCACTATGACGAATCACCGACGTTTCCTTTGTTTTTAAATATCTCTGCGGTCGTCGGCGGCATCAATTTTCTTCAGAAGTTGCATGTAAAAGTCGCGAGACGTCGGTGTCCCACTGGGCGTGCCAATATATTGTCGTAAAAAATCGCCACCGACGGCTTAATTGGAAAAGCCTGTCGGAATTGATTTATTCGAAGGGTTCCCCGGCCTCCTCAAGAATGAATCTGGGCTATCTCACAATATCTGAATAATTAACGTAAAAGGAAGGTAAAATTAAACAAGAACGAAGCTTGAAAAAGAAACTGGAATTAATGAAAATAAAGATGTAAAAAATTTGGAAAAAATATAGAGAAAATAATGCAGAGAAAAAATAAAAAGAAAGAAGAAGATGATTGATGTGAATGGCGTTCCCCTTCCTCTGGTTCTACTTTTGGATATTTATTTTGTTTTTGAATTATTTGGATAAACCTTCATCCCCATTTTTTTCTCCAACAACTCCAACCTCCTCTCCACCATCTTTGATTGGATCTCCTCACCTGTGCTGGACCACCCATAAATTGCACTAGGTCTTCTTGAACAATGGGCTAGGCGGGGCAGACCCAGTTGATGATATGGGCCGCATACTGGATCGCGAACCTCCATTCTGAGCTGTGTTTGTATTGGGCTGGCTTAATTAATTATTTGGGTGTGTACAAATGATAAAGAATTTTATTTGCATGATCGGATATATATATTGTTGAGATATTTTAGATATTCAGACTTAGATTTAGTAGATTTATATGTATATTTGATCTTATTCATAGATTAGATTACTTAGATTTGAGTCTATCGATTGCCTATATATAAGCTCCTTATTTTGTTGATCAACAAGACAATTTCATTATTTTCCTCCAAAATTTCTAACATGGTATTAGAGCCTATTTTTCTAATGGCGTAGATATAGCCTACTAACCTGCGTTTCTCCGGGTACATTCAACATGGATTGTACCCGGAGGTCTTGTGATTTTGAGATCATGCATTTGCAAGTCTGTCTATCTGCAAATCTGTCTCGTCTGCGATCTGTCATCCGCTGCTTGTCTGTTCTTGCATGCGATTTGAAACCTGTTTGCGATCTGCTATCTGTTTATTGCATGTGTGCGATCTGAAACTTGTCTGCGATCTGCCTTCTGTCCGTGCTTGTCTATTGCCTGCGTGTAATCTGTTTGGTATTTCCGATCTATGTTGTTTTCGGCTCCAGTGGAGTCATGTCATTTTCGGCTCCAGTGGAGTCATGTCGTCTTCGACCATCTCGTTTTTTGCTCCGGTGGAGTCATGTCATTTTAAGCTTCGGTAGAGTCATCTCGTTTTCGGCTCCGGTAGAGTCATGTCGTTTTCGGCTCCGGTGGAGTCATCTCGTTTTCGGCTCCGGTAGAGAGTCATCTCGTTTTTTGCTCTGGTGGGTGGAGAGTCAACTGCTAATTTTATTTATGTTTTCTTTTTGTGTTTATATTCAAATTTCTTATTAAACTCAAGTTGGTTTCTATTATACCACTTGAGTTTGATGGGGGATATTGAGATATTTTAGATATTCAATTTTAGATTTAGTAGATTTATATCTAGATTTGATTTTATTTATATATTAGATTACTTAGACTTGAGTCTATCGAGTTTGTTTTGTATTGCCTATATATAGGCTCTTTATTTTGATATCAATAAAACAATTTCATTATTTTTCCCCAAAATTTCTAATATATATATATATATATATTTGTTTGGCACTATTCGGCGTAAGAACAAGAAGAAGAAAAATATGGAAAATGCCCAAAATTTGTTCCCACAAAAATTGAATAATACGAAGAAGATAAGAATATAATGATGAGTGAAATGGCAGTTGACACTTGTTGTATGCATTACAACCACATAAGAATGCATCCAAAACACACATGAATTTGAGATACAACAGCTAACAGCTATATATATATGCATATGTATGTATAATAATGTATGGAGGGCAATCATTGTTATGGGCTTCTCTCGTTTTCTTATAAAAACCCTTTCTTCTTTTTTAATGCCTCTCAATCATTCATTCGGACAACCTTTGTCACTCCAAATTTCTTCTTTTCAAAGATTAAATTCTACTCTCTCTCTCTCTCCTCTCAATGGTAATGTTACTCGATCGTACGTTAACTTATATGAATAGTATCGAGCTATTTTTGCATATTGCACTTATCTTGTAATGCAAAGATATATATATAATGAATTTGCATATGTAATCATGTCTGTAGTGTTGAAACTTAATTACCAGGTTCATGTCGATAGCCATGCCCAAAAAGATGGGATTTTGGTGGATTTCCATGGGAGACCCGTCGATAAGTCTCGAACCGGAGGATGGATGGCCGCCGGCCTTATCTTAGGTAATCATACATATATATATACATGTATTACATAATTTATCTTAATAATATATATATATGTATATTTTAAATATTACTTATTATATCTCACTTAAATAGTTTTATTTATATACCATTATCTTACTTAAAAATTCATTTTTTTATTTTTAATCAGTGTGGTTTCTAGCCAATTTATATTTACGAAATTATCATGTGTAATAAATCTAAGAATATAGTTGATTTATTTTTTTACTATCAATATAATATTATTATTTTTAAATAGATTATAAATTTCTTTTGACTATTCAATTGGGACGAATGAATAATTATTTCCTAAAGTATATATCAACTACTATCAATAGGTTAAATATATTAACTTCTTAAATTATTATGATTGTGTGCGTACTAAGCTCAAGAATTTTCAAGTAGTAGCAATGTATTTTGTAAAATAATGACATACTTATAGTACTGTCGCCATATTGTATTAGTCTTATGTTAATCTTTTTGGCTAGAACTATTTTCAACTGGCTGATAGTACGTAGGAACCCTTCTTTATATATATATATAAAAAAAAGAACTAGTTATTACATGTTTTGATAGAAGAGAAAAGATGTCGAATAATTAATAAATGTTCTTTTAACAATATGTGTATAGGTACGGAGTTATCCGAAAGAGTATGTGTAATGGGCATATCGATGAATTTGGTGACATATTTAGTAGGCGATTTGCATCTTTCATCTGCAAAATCTGCTAATATCGTTACCAACTTCATGGGAACTCTCAACTTGCTCGGCCTCCTTGGTGGCTTTGTGGCCGATGCTCGACTTGGACGGTACAAGACAGTCGCGCTTTCTGCATCTATAACGGCTTTGGTACAATTAATATCTTCAACTCTCTTTGTTTGCTCTTGTGTGTATATATATATATATATATATTGATATAATTTCTCATTTATTTATTTGTGTTTTGGTTCGTTTTTGTTAGTTTGAATTTGATATTATTTTTATTTGATTTATTTTTTTCATATATAAATATTAGAAATAATTAGTAAAAATTAAAAATTATGATAAGTTGAACAGTGTAATAATAATAATACACAACTGTTGGCTTAAGCAGCTCCACCCCCTAGTGTATTTTTTATTATATATATAAATTTATATTTATATTTATATATAATTTTAAAAATAATATTAATAATAGAAAAGAAGTGCTAAAAAAATTATATAAAATGTATTTATTTTGAGGTTTGAATTTTAGGCTTAACTTTTAAATAGTAAAAATTTTAAATTTAATTGTTTGGTATGATACAAATAAGTGTTATATGCAATATTTTAAAATGTTTTTAGTAAAATATAAAAAATTAAAAACAAAATTTTGATTGATTTTTTTATTTTTTGGAAGTAAAGAATAATAAAAAATCTTTAAAAAAAAATTCCAATCAAACATGTTTGATGATTTTTCTAAAAGTGAAATAATGTATTTTAAACAATATTACAAATATATATATAATTGTTGCCATTATGGTTTGTAATTCTTCAAATTTTTTAAAATATGACAATTAGAAATTATTCGACAATAAATAGATTTTATAATATTTTTGAAATTTTAAAAAATTAGCCCCCTCTTGCGAGAAAGTGTGGTTGTGCCACTGGCCTTAAGGATGTTTCATATAAGTTCTAGTGTTATTGAAAATGACCTATCAAGATGGAATGGATATATTCATTCCAAAGTGTTATGAGTGAAATATAAATATATGTATATATATTTATTTCGAATAATGTTTTTTCCTTTTTATGGAAATAATCTTTGGTGTCGTTACGTGGCTATAAATGTATTCACTTAATATTTTATTTCTATACAATTTATCATAAATATTACCTAAAAATATAATATACAATATATACATATAACAATATATAAAAGTTAAAAATAAACACTCAAAAGTCAACAAAACATATCAAATATCATTATATATAATACTTTTATAATTATCTATATTTCACAACAAAAATATTTAAAATTATAAATACCAATATACAAGCACTATTAATTGAAATTATTATATAAAACCAAATAAATAAATAAAATTGAACATGAGTGATTGTGATTGATACATCATGTTACATTATTTTATTATTTTTTAAAAAATATTAAATTCAACTCTTATATTTTATATTACGTTCAAAATTTATGTTTAATTTAAAATATTATATTGATATATATATATTTATTTCGTACCAAGTATCTATTGAAGTGAAACATTTACTATTCTCGACTCTAAACTCAATTTTCAATCCCACGGCTAAATACACTTTATGAATTTGTTTTTTTTTAATTTATTTTTGTGTTTATGCTTTGTTATTTTTATTTAGCCTCGAACATTGTCTCGAATAGATACCCGTAACAGAAATTTCGTCGTAGTTTTGGATAGTTCGGAAATTTGAAACTATTTTGAGTAGTCTCAGGAATTTTCGAACGGACTTTTGTAGGTTTGAAAATTCGATACTACTCAAAATAGCTTTGAAAATGCGAATACTCTTAAAATTTTTGAAACAATTGAAATATTCTTTTTAAAAAAATATATTTATATAATTTAAAATCAAAGCAATTATAGTATTTTATCAAAATTATCTTACTAACTAATACATCAATTTTTTTTATAATTTATTTTTCTTAATTCAAAATTTATTTTAATTACTTATATAAATTTATTATTTTAATTATTTTATATTTTAATAACTTAATTAATTATTATTTCTATATTTTTTACATAATAAATAAATTATATATATATCTAAATAAAATCAAAGTCAAAATCACAATTAATTAATTTATAGTAGCCGGTGAATTTTAATGATTTGATAGGTTCAAAATATTTCAAGAATAATTAAAATAGGTTCGGAAGTTTCGAAACTAATAAAGATTCAGAATTTTCCAAGACTAATTAAAATAGGTTCGGAATTTTTCTAGACTATAAAAGTTCAGAATTTTCAAGACTATTTAAAATAGGTTCAAAAATTTTCGAAATTGTAAAAGTATGGAATTTTTTAGATTATTTAGAATAGGTTCAAAAAATTCCGAGATTAATTAAAATAGGTTCGGAAGTTCCGAGACTAATAAAAGTTCAACATTTTTCGAGACTAATTAAAATAAGTTCAAAATTGTTGAGAATGTAAAAGTTCGGAGTTTCAGTGACAATTTAGAATAGGTTTGGAAATTCCGAATAATAATTGAAATAGGTTCGAAAATTCCGAAATTAATAAATATTCAAAATTTTCAAGACTAATAAATATTCGGAATTTTTGAAACTATTTAAAATAGATTTTGAAATTTCAAAACTATTCAATACAATAAAATATATATTTAATATAGCTTCGAAAAATTCGAAACAAAATTAAATAGTCTCAGTGTTTTCGAGAAAGAAAAATTTTAATTTATTTTATATATATTATATATTTTTTTATAGTTTCGGAATTGATTCCGACTTAATTTTTTATGCTAATGAAAAAAAATTTGTTAGTGATATGTATAATCATAGTAAAAAAATTAATAATAATAAATAAATATATATGTATTTAGAAAAATGAAAAAGGAAAAAGAATCAAAGGGAAGAAAACCTATGCATGTATGATATAAGATCATTGTAGTTTGAGGACTTGCTTGTTTTTAAGATATCAATATTGCAAAATATATATATATATATATATATCCATTTTAGTAAAGTTCTAATGAGATTATAGGATGATGCATATTAATTATATCAAATTGTCACACAATAACATGAGTGCATATGTATACTATGGAAGCTAGATAAAATTTAAAAAGTCCATCGATTTACGTGGATTTAGATATTTGAGAGTTGGAAGGATTTTATGTATTGATTAAAATAGATTTTTATAAATTTATTTGAATTGTTTATGAATTTGTATAGTTTTCATAGGATTGTAAATAATTTTTTATTAATTTATATAAATTTATATGAAAAAAAAATGTAGATAAAAAATATATTCAAATAATTAAATAAAAATATAAAAATGTAATATAGTTAAAAATATATATTAAATTATTCATTATTTTTATCCTTATTCTCCTTATTTTTATTTTCATCACCATTATATATTATATATAATTAGTGATGTATAATAATTATAGCATTAATATATTAATTTTTTAATTTTTATTATATTATTATTAAATATATTAATTTGTTTTAATATATTATAATTTTAACATAATTTTATTATATGTATATGTATTATTACTTTAACAAATGGCGATGAGATAAAATGATTTTGGAGATGAATAATATCCTTTTGTCAAGCAACTACTCATGTTCAAATCCTCTCCATATTTTTTTCAATTAAATTTATTTGGATATCTTTTTTATGCAAAAATAAAAAATAAAAAATAAAAAAATAATTTAAAATTTTAATTAAATATATATTTTCAAAAAAATTACTAATAATTTGGGATTATATTTTAATTTTTTGAAATTATTATTATATTATTAAGACATTATAATAATATTCATAATTATTATCATAATATTTATCACTTATAATAATAATAATAATAATAATATCTCAATCCCGCAAAAAGAGTAACATTTACTTTTTACACGTACATTTTTTAATATTAGTATTATATTGGTTTATAGTAGAAAATGTAAAAATACACCTATTAGATTGAATAATAAAAAAGTAATGACATTTGTGTAATATATTGGAAGTTGTAAGGGTATTAATTATGTTAGATAAGTAGTAAATTACTAAATTAGGAAATAGTATCTTTTTTGGGACGGACAAAAATGGAATTCTCATGGGACGGGAGGTAGTAATATATTTTAAGAATTCATCAAAATCTCTACTTATCATGCGGGATTTTGTACTATACAATTTATGCATAACTTTCCTTTAAAATCCAATAAAATCCACGGACTTTTAAAGTTTATGGATTGTTGAATACAATCGGATTTTTAAAAAAATTTAAAAGTCTGGATTGAATACCTCCGGAATTTAAAATACTTTTAAAAGTCTGAATTGAATACTTCCAAATTTTAAAAAACTTCTAAAAATCTAGATTGAATATGGACAGATTTCAAAAGTCGAATAGAATCCTACAAAATTTTAATTGAATACACACCGCTAAATGATTAATCAAAAGTTGATCTTGTCAAGTAGGTTAAATGCTATAAGTGATAACCCATCCAAAAACTCTTTACAATAAACTAAAAATTACTCTATAAACTTTAAATTGACATATTTTAAATTTATTAGAGGTTTTTTTACTTATATAGTTTATTTTATATATTCTTTTATTTTTGAAGTAAAATAGTTTTATGTGTAATATTTTAAATAAAAATATGTTAAATATATATTTACTTTTCAATAAGGATTACTAATTTAAATTAGGAAAATAAGGATAAAGAAAAATAAAATTAAATTACTCTGTTGACTGTATCTTTTGTATGTAAAGATTATTTTGTGGTGATGAGTAAATTAATAGAATGATATTGATATAAATAAATATTAATCTTGAAAGTATTTATAATATAGGGTGATATTTATGTTTACTAAAAATAAAAAATAAATATTTTGTGTTTGAAGTACAAAAATGATAAAAACATAGGAACTGATAGGATGGAGTATTTATCTTATGTGTGGCTTTAATGTGAAAAAATATTTATGAATATGGCTCATTTACTTATAGAATACTATTTAAATTTTATATTATAACTCGAGATATAAATATTAAACTATATCCCAAAGTAAATATTGAGTTTGTTAACTTGATGTTTTTCAACAACATAATTGTCAATACATATTATTAAAAAAATATTATATATACATCAATACAATATATATAACATATATACACTTTATCAATTTAGAAAAAATTAATAATTCAATATAAAATATTACTTTTATATTATCGACACAATTGTTCATATAAAAAGGTGAACTATTTTTTAGTTCTGTAATTGGATCCTAGTCCGCAATTGGACCCTTTTATCATTTTAGTTCTGTAACTAAAAGTTGTTTTAAAATAGTTCTCTAAGTGAAAAATTTTCACAATTTAGTCCTCAATGTCTGTGTAGCTACATGTGTGGCATGCTGACGGACACGTGTCGGCCAGGTTACCACCATGTGGCTGACACGTGTCCGCCACGTGGATTTTTTTTAATTTAATTTTTAAAACGTGTCGGCCAGGTTACCACCATGTGGCTGACACGTGTCCGCCACGTGGATTTTTTTTAATTTAATTTTTTTTAAACATGAAAAATTACAAATATAAAAATAAAAATAAAAATAAAATTTCAAATTTCAAATTTCAAATTTAAAAAAATAAAATAAAAAATAAAAAGATGTCCAATTACGAGACTAAAAAAAATTTGAACCATCATATGAATATACTTTAAATTTGGAAGAATATATCTGAAATATGAATGATACAAAATTTCAGGGGGTGATACTTTTGACATTAGCCACAACCCTCCCAAGCATGAGGCCACCTCTATGCCCAAACTCGCGGCGGCAAGATTGCATTCCGGCGACCGGACAACAACTAATGCTCCTCTATACTGCCCTATACACCATAGCGCTCGGGGGCGGTGGGATCAAGTCCAACGTCTCCGGCTTTGGCTCCGACCAATTCGACACATCCAACCCCAAAGAGGAGAAGGCCATGGTCTTCTTCTTCAATAGGTTCTACTTTTGCATTAGCCTCGGCTCCCTCTTTGCCGTGACAATCTTGGTGTACATACAAGACAACGTTGGGAGAGGCTGGGGCTATGGAATATCCGCTGGAACAATGCTTATTGCTGTCGCAGTCTTTCTTTTTGGGACAATGTTGTATCGCTTCCGAATGCCCCAAGGAAGTCCGTTAACCGTCATTTGGAGAGTCGTTTACTTGGCTTGGAAGAAGAGAAGTCTTGCACATCCCCCTCGGGATGATATGTTGAATGGGTATTATAATGCCAAAGTTCCTCATACCGAAAAATTTAGGTAAGTCAAAGGTATTATTTTTGCTATTTACATGCATAATAGTTTAAATTCTCTTGTTTTTTTTTTTTTTTTTTCTCTTTCAAGTATGTGTATATATATATATGTGGCATAGATATTGAAGTTCTATGAAAAAATATGAGATGTTTTGAATAATATAGATGATCAAGGACTAGTATTCGTAGTATAAAGCCGCACTTAAAAATATTACAAAATGACTTAATTAGGATATATTATCTTTGGGTGTGGATCTGGTAGTGCTAATTTGATTCAATCAGTGTATATAATAAAAATATACACCATATAGCTCATTATTTAGTGTATCATAACAAAACATATGTTGTGTTATAATAAAATATATATTTGTTATAAAAATGTTAAGTCATATACATTTATTAGCATCACACTGATTTGACCTAAGCGATCAAGATAGTTGTTATCCAATAAATAAGTAATATTGGTTACTTTTCCTATATAGATGTCTAGACAAGGCGGCGATATTGGAGGATAAAGAGATGGAGAAGGAGAAGGAGAATGAAAGCAACGGTTGGATTGTTTCAACGGTGACACAAGTGGAGGAGGTGAAGATGGTAATAAAGCTTCTCCCGATATGGTCGACGTGTATCCTATTTTGGACGGTCTACTCTCAAATGAATACATTCAGCATCGAGCAAGCGACCTTCATGTACCGCAGAATTGGTAGCTTTGAGGTCCCCGCGGGCACTTTCTCCGTCTTCCTCTTCTTCTCCATCCTTCTCTTCACCTCTCTCAATGAGCGAGTTTTCGTGCCGCTTGCACGGAAGATCACGCACAAGCCACATGGGATCACATGCCTCCAACGCATTGGGATTGGACTTGTGTTCTCCGTACTCGGTACCTAACTACTATGTATAATAAAATATATATAACTCACTCAAAAAACTAATTATATCCTAATTACTACATTTCAAAATAATTTTTTGGAATCAGTTTGCATTTTCGGATTCCACGTCATAAAAAATAAATAATAAAAAGTAACTTTTTGGAATCCCAAACCTTTCACCCTAAATACGCTAAATTAATCCCGCAGGCATGGTGGCGGCGGCTCTAGTTGAGAAAATGCGACGGGAGCGGCATCTCGACGACAACATCCGAGTATCGGCATTCTGGTTGGTCCCACAATTCTTCCTAGTCGGGGCGGGTGAAGCGTTTGCTTACGTGGGCCAGCTGGAGTTCTTCATCCGAGAGGCACCCGAGAGGATGAAGTCGATGAGCACAGGCCTGTTTCTGAGCACGCTCTCCATGGGGTTCTTCGTGAGCAGTCTTCTGGTCTCTTTAGTCGACAAAGCGACCAAAGGGAAGTGGCTCAAGAGCAACCTCAACAAAGGGAACTTAGACAACTTCTATTGGCTGCTGGCAATTCTTGGAGTGTTGAACTTCTTCGTGTTCATAGGCTTTGCAGTTAAGCATCAGTACAAGATGCAGCAGAATTACATCGTCCCGAGCGAGGACCGTCTTCATAATGAGGCCGACAGCAGCAACAATGGCCATTCGGACAAGACACTGCCTGTTCTTGCACCTGCAGAAGAACCTTAATTCATACATACACGTTCGTTGGATATACAGTATGTAGGGTTTGATGTTGTTTGTTTTTTCTAAAAAAATTTAGCGATAGTGTTTTTAGAGTACCGTTCGTTGCTTTTTTGCTTAGTTTAGTTATTGCATACTTGTGAGTTGTGAAAGGCCAGCTGTTTGTTTTGCTTGTATTGTTTTGATATATGAAAAGGTGCAAAATTACAAGTTTGTGTGGTTTCACTACAAAAAAATCATTTTTTAAACAAAAATTTTTTGTCTCTAAATCTATTTTTTCCATTACTAATGACATTAGAGACGGAATTAAGAATGGAATTACGTTAGCTACGTGAACTTTAGGGATAGAATTCCGTTACAAATATATTTTTTTTTTAATGTTGTGTTTTCTAGCGACTATTTGTTCTTGCAATTGCAATTTATTTACACGTGTATGTTCACTTTGTATTTTTATAGTAAGTATGGAAATTGTATGTGCCAATAATATAAACAATAATATCTTATATTAAATTGTTGATTTTTTGTTACGTGAATAAAATATATTGTATATTGTATTAAAATCCTACAAGCGTACAATCTTCTCTTCCCCCTCACTCTTCTTTTCCTTGTTCACTAATACATTCCATCGCGATCAAGATCAACCTCTTCTGAATCCTCAGATACCCTTCAACCTCTCTTTTACCTACTTTGATATAGAGTATGCACTTGTTCTCTCTATTGATAGGTCCTTCCCAAAACCTGTTTTTGGTTCGTCATCCCATTTGGTTCCAGCCGTTCGCCTCTTTTACATCACCATGGAAAAGACCACCACAGTTTGCATCTTTAATTTTCCAATTTCTTTTGGTGCAGAGACTATAGACGCCAAATCTCTTATTATTATTATTATTATTATTATTATTATTTTTGTTATTATTGGACTCCAATTACGCTATCACCATTTATATCTTTTTTTTCAACCTGAAACATATGCCAAGAACCTCATAAATTTTGACAGCCTTTGTCATGGGCTGCAAAATTAAATAAATTATACCTCTTTCCACAATAAAAAGGGGGGATTTTTGGACATAAGTGAAATTAAACTAAACTAAACTAAATGAGAATGAAACTAGCAAATTAAAAATCTACGGAAAATTATACGGTTAAACTTCAATTAAGACAAACTCCTAGCCTATGAATGAAATTGACAACTTGGATTTTGAACTTGATCATCGATAAATATTTAATTTCATTGGCTTTTAAATAAATTAGTTATAGTCATCGACACACGTCTAATAACCAACTCTTCCTTAATTTCTCGACAATCTAGGTACGTCCGTCAGCTGGTTCCCTAATTATACTAGAACCTTAGTGACGCCATAAAGAATTTACTAGTCTAACCGTTTTGCGAACTAGAAGAGCCTAATTCAATTTAACAATTAATTACCTATGCGACTTGTTTAAAATTGATTATGTGATTTTCTAGAGGTGCCTGTCTCTAATTGCTACATGAATTAAATTAAAACGCAGTTACAAACGCCTAATTTAGTTTAGCAGTTAATCTTTAATTCAATTGAAATATCCGGTCGAAATACACTACTAAAATAAAGATTATAAAACAAAGAAAGTAAATATCACATAAATACTTAGGAACTAAACAAATATCATAAATCAAAACAAGTCTAATCTCACAAATTCATACAAGTTGTTGTTCACTCGTAAACTAGGAGAAAAAGATCTACTCGCTAATCATGGGAGAGAAAACAAAAATAATAAAGAAAGTAGACATCGCCTAAGAATGATCGATCGGTAGGAATAGAAATCAAAATCTTCTTGAATCTTTCTCCTCATTGCCTCATGCACCTTGCGGTTTTTCTTCGGGACTATTCTGCACTGTATTTTCTTGTTCACTCTTGTTGTCCTCCAAAGTGGTGCCCTCTCCTCCTTTTATATCCCGAAAAAACAATCTTTTATTTTGTAATTTTTATCTATATCTCATAACAACCTTTCCCAAGTTTGCCATAATTTCACTTCTGCTCCAAGAATTAAATTGCAATCTTTCCTTTCTTTGACACCCTTTCCCTATTTTATAATATCATGCACTTGATACCAAAAATAGTATTCTAAGTAGAATTTATTGTCGAAACAAATACTAGAATATATACAAAAAATTCTCCTAAAATGCATCTATCAAACCTCCCCAAATCTAAATTATGTTTGTCCTCAAGCATACGATCAAGCAAAACAACTCAAGTATATAGCATTCTCTCAAACATCGTGTCCACCGTATGTCAAACAGAGCTCCACCAAATTCGAAGCTCACCAAAGTTACCCACCCTCACCAAAATGATATATATATGAATGTGTACACACTCACTCTCAAGTGTTTCGGCTATTAACTCTCAATGCACATTGAAACAAGAATAATCTCATAGGCTTGCTAAAAACTAGAGATGAAAATTCCGACACTTACAATCAAAGGGTCTTCATTCAAGGTTGTAACAGGGTCATGGTTAGGGTAGGAAAAAGGTATGAAAAGGCTAATGGAATAGAGAGGGAATTAACTACAAATCACTATATTAATGCGCAACTTCTTAAAACCTTGAAGGAATTTAGAAAAATTCTTATCCTCTTGTGTTGTTTTGACACTAACAAAATAATGCTCATTTGTAGCGGATTCTCATCCGCATTAGATATTTTGTGGCAAAAGTTATTTTTTGTATTAGATATTTTTGTAAAAAATGATTTCTTTTGTTTGGTCAACAATTTTTATTTTTGTTGCGGTATTTTTTCTGTATCAACTATAATTATTAGAAAATATCATCCTATGTATATTTGTTACGACCGTTCATCCATTACAAAAATAATAAAAATTTAATTAAAAATTAAATACTCCCTCCATCCCAATACAATAGTCTTGTTTACCATTTTTGTGCGTCCCAAAACAATAGTCTCATTTTCATAAATAATCATATCACTATAAAACTACCATTACTTTTTCATTATTATTACACAATTGCCACTACTTTTTACACTAATACACTCACAAGGCAAAAATATTTTTTACCCGTACTTTTTACCCACTACCAATATAATATCAATATTTCTTAAATCTCGTGCCAAACACAATAGTTCTGGGACGGAGAGAGTATTAAATATTAAAAATATTCTTATGAGAATATGTTTTATATTAATTATAAATAAAAATTTCTATAAAATATTTTGAAATATAACAAATGTGCGAAATTTGGAAATTTGTCGTCTGGCATCCCATGTAATAATCTCTGGCCAGTGAACTAAATGTGTGAAATTTTTTCACTTATGGGATTATTTTAAAACAATCTCTAGTTACGAGATTAAAATGATGTATAGTTATGGGACTTAAAAAATAGATTACCCGATAACTAATTAGTATAATTAAAATTTTAGAAAATGTAAATTATAAAATTTAAAATATGATTAAAGTATATAATTTTTTTCCATAAGAGGAAAGTAAAATGATATGTGAGACCGATAGAAATAAAAAATATGACATTGTATATAGAACGGAGGGAGTAGAATATTTAATTATGTATTTATCAGATATTTTATAATTATAACTATATTATTTGATATATTTAGTTTAATTTAATAAATTTATTTTTTATTATACAATATATTTTTAAAAAATATTATTGACAATTTTCATATATGTGTACTTATTTTTAATATTATGTCATATTATTGAAATTCATAATGGGTTAATATTTAGTGAAATGCAAATAAGACTATTTTTTTCCTTTTTATTTAGTCGTTTATCTTTCGGATTTTTTTTTTTTTTCTTTCATACATACTTCATTGAAAGTGGTATTTTGAAGGATATAAATTTGATATATAAAATGCAGCAATGGCTATGAGTCGTGTTACCTCATTAATTCCCTCCTCAATTGCCATCGTTTTTGTAGCTCTTTTCTCCATTCTCTCCTTTGTGCATGTTGGACATAGGTCCAAAAGCACCTAACGAGAAGAAGGCTCAAAGACAAAAGTGGTGCCAGAGCTCATTGGCCACGGAGCCGCTCAACAACAATGTAGCTTCAAGCCTCGGAGCCAAAGACTGCTGCTTCCACAGAACCGAAGGCAACAGTTTTCATTGGATTGTGGTGCTTCCACAGGGCCGAAAGCAGAGGAAGGTTGCCTCCACAAGATAGAAAACAACAGCTTCCACAGATCATGGGATAACTACCTCCGTTGGCCCTAGGTTAATAATTTCGTACTTAACATTAGTGGATGACCTATGCACTCTCATGCTTATTCAAAAAGCTCCATGGAACAAACCAGCAAGAGGAAAACCGAAGATTCCATTTAACTCGAAGCTGTTGGGGATAAATCCCCGTAGACCGGCTTGGAGTACGATGGAAACAAGTCGGAGTAAACAATATATCTGGTCCAGAGGCAATGGAAGAAGTTCAGAGCAAGTGGAACCCGGTTCAGAGGCAATGGAAGCGGCTGGGAGCTGATGGAAGAATGTTACCAGGTGGTTAGTAGCTTATGGAAGGAGGTTACCAGGGAGCTGATGGAAGGGGGTTACGAGGTAGTTAGGAGGCAGTGGAAGGAGGTGATTTGGAAGTTGGAGGTAGTAGTGGGAGGTTACCAAGTGGTTCAGAGTGGTGGAGAAATAATTGTAACCGCCCCTTTAGTGGGAGAAGTAGTTATTCTAGTTTAGGATTACAAGTAGGAAAAAGAAACACAACACACACGCACAACAGAACAATTCGTCTATTTTCTTACTTTTCTTTCATGTGTTTATTTTCGTTGAATGCATTTTAATTTGAATTACATACTTTTATCCGCTTTCCGGTAGATGTTAGTTTAATCCATTGAAATCGGTCATTTAGGCTCGAAGCCTTGTGGACGATTGAAGCTGTCCAGGCTCCATCGTAGGAGCCGCCTCCAATCCGACGACGGACAGACTCTTTGGAGTACTTCCGGAACCCACACCGAAAAATCGACGAATGTTCTTGGAACCTCCGAATTTCAGGATCCAACATTGCATTGCTTCAACGCAAATTAGCCTGCGAACATCTTCAGGGTATTTACCGCCTGCATACATCAAACAAAGACTTTTAGTTTTCTATCTTTTCTTTTCTTTCAATAATTTTGTCGAACATGTGGTGCTTGTGTGTAGGGTTTGGCGACTGCGGATAAATCAAGGCTGGGCTCTATACTGCCGACCTGCCACAATAAATGCAACCAGTGCC